GCAACCTGACAGAATGTGTGGATTTGTAATTCTTGGAATAATAAGGACATGACCTTGCTATAGAGGTTAGGAGGCTGAAAGTGATAGAGCTGTGACGCTCAGAAGGCTGGTTTGTTTTCCTTATTCCACAAGGACTGGAAGAGGACATGCTGCTATTACTTCTCAGAATTCCATTCACTTTGGTGCTCTGTAACCATTTTGCTACAATTCACTGTATTCTGGGGAGAAGAAAGCGAGCTTTTTAAAATACCTTACATAAAATCTACATGTTGGCAGCTGACAGCAGCTACTAATAACTAGAGCCCTAACATGAGAGAGTATTGGAAATTTTCACCCTTTTCTAGCTACCCTTTTCTAGAAGCATCCATGAAGTTCAGAACCAGACTATTCTTAAAATGATGCTCCCTACATTGGGATATTTTCCATTTCCCAATTTCTCATTGGCTTACTGCTGTTGGTCCACACGCAGCCATGTTAGCATAAGCCTGATGAAATATTGGCAGAACTGTTCAAAGCTGAATTTATCGCTTTAAAAACCCACCACCAAGTTATCAAGGGCTGGTCAGTCAGAGGCATGCTTGGCTAAAAGAGTAAGGAAGACAGAGCATGCAACAGGAAGTTAAAGATCAGAGCTTGTCCAACAGTTTTAGTCGCTGAGCTACTAGTAACTTCTTGAGACTGTCTTGAGTGCTTCCAGAGGTGGTCTTTATCATGCAATTGTCCTGTCTCAGTCTCAAAATTTGACAGAGCATCCAAACATGGTCATCTTAAATTTGTAGCCTTCCCACTCTCCCTTGCCATAAAAAAATTGGTTAAGAAAGGAAAGAGAAAGAACTGCATGGTGTGCTTTGATAAGCACCCTGCCTTGGTAGCATTCTGTAAATCCTCAGGATTATAGCAGCTGCACCCATGGCATAAAGACACTTGACGCGCAGCTTTTAACAATATGAGCTTATTCACACAATCCTATTTATTATGCTGTAACTGCAACACTGTGGTGTGCTTGCACGGATCAACCATTACACTTGGGATTTTGGATGAGGTGAATGCTGTCAGCTGCATTCCGTCCAAGTACTGCCTGATCTGAATGGAGGACAAAGGCCCAGTGTCAGCCTGATCAAATTTCAAATGTGTTCTACCAAAGGAAAAGCAACTCTAAAATATTATCTAGACCAGGGGAAGGCAACTGGGCACCGTCCAGATATTGTGGACTACAACTCCCATCACCTGCAACAATGGTCAGTGGTCAAGGATCAGGGGTTTGTAGTTGGAAACATCTGGACAGCATTACATTGCCTAGCTCTGATCTAAAAACACAAATGCTGTATGTAAATGCAGCTGTGTTTATGTTTGTAACTATATCTATATCTATACACTCAGAGAAAGAGGACACTGAAGCTGATATAAATCTGCTGCTGGATTTTCCTTCTGACCTGTTGATTCACAGAGCAAAGAGGACACAATTCTCTTTGTCCTTGAAGCTTTGGGCTGCAAAGGCACCCAGCAATGCTATGGAACCAGTTGTTACTCTTTTGAGAGTAGTTTAAGTCTGACTTCCCTTGCTTTGTTCCACGAAATAGTCAAACCTACAAGTTTTTCTGGGCAAATCTGCATGGTGTGGTATCAATTAACAGAAACACAATGCAGTAAATGCCCTAAAACGATGATCACACAGAACAGAGACTGGAATCCAGTGTGTGTGCACATTTTATAACATACACCTATGGAATCAGTGTGGTATCTGGATTATTTATTTTAAATTGTGTTAGCACCACTCTTTCCACCAACTGCTGCTTAATTTACTTTTACTCTATTTCTTTTTTCTTTCTTTTTTTAATTTTGGCCTGGTCCTGATTTACAACCACGAGATTTTGGCAATGGTAACAGAAGGAAGGTCAGCGGAAGGAAGGGGCAAAGGGACCTAAATGCTGTGTGCTTGGGATGGAAGAGCAGAAGTCTTTCCGTGTGAGGGGCTGAGCCAGCCTTCCATCTGTGCTGTATGAATGTGTATCTTATTGCACAGTGTATGTTACTGAAAAGCTATAGCAAGTGATTTAGGGTTTGGGTTGATTTTCATTTCCTCCCACCTGCAGAAAACAGCTGCCTCTCCCTGTATCCCACCCTATGGAAACTCAGAAGAAGCCACAATTTAAGAAAACCTAAAGTAGGATAGTGTGCCAGAATGTTAGACTTTAAATACATCTCCTTTAGGACATTCTACCAGATTCGTGTCCCCTGTTTTTTGAACCATCAGTGTTGGTAGCTTTGGAGTATTGATTTTATGCCTAGAAAAACTGCTAGTAGTTGTGATACTGACTGACATGTGTGATAAACAGTTCTTTTGTGTGGTGTGGTTCCTCCCACACAATAATTTGAAACAATCCCTGGAAACCCACAACGATCCCTGAAAGATCATGCTAAAGGGATTTCTGTGGCTTATGCACAAGAGTTTGCAGATGCATTTTCAGTGTCAATCAGGCAAATGCAATTACCGAGTAAGTCCCATGATCCTGCCAGGTGCTCCACAGGATGGGGAATTCCTTGTTCATATTAAAAAGGATTAGAGTACCCAATTATATGCCTTCATGCAGAATAAATGCACTGGGAATCTTCACTGTATGGAACAGTATTTCCTTGGTAAGGAAATAAGTTTGCTTATGTATGTGTTTTTAAAAAGGTTAATAAATCATGTCATCACTAGAGAGAGATGACAGAACTCAGATGCATAACTATTCAGGGTTGCTGATGGATGTAAGGAAACTGTTATCAGTAATGTGCAATGATCATGTTAATCCAGCATTGCATTTTTGAACCTGCTAAAGTGAGCAAGATTTTGCCCTATCTGGATAATGAAATTATTTCCTCCTAGAGATGTTAGAAGGTGCGCGATATGGGCTAGTATTGGGCAGGCTTATCTAAAGGAGATGTGCATAGGGTGTGCATAACCTCATATACAGCCCACCAAGCAAATACCCTAATTCTATGACTCCAGCCCTCCAGACACCCCTCCATTCTTCCAATCCCAAATACACAGCAAATACTGGATTATCAAGCATATGGACCACTGCACATGGCTAGTAAGTGTCACTATGCTTTGTGGGCCATGGGATACACAAATCTGCTGTGTCTTAGCTTCAGAGTTGTTAAGAATATTTAAATATTTATAAACAATAATGGCCCTCAGTTTTTGGAGGACAATAAAAAGGAGAGTGCAGGAAACAGCACAATCCTAAATGGTTATGTTTTAAGATAACATCCAGAAATGTGGATTGTCTTCTTCAGAGCCAGCTCCTTGATTCTGAGGACCCTGGCCAAGACACCCTCAATAGAGGCCTCAAAACAGGTTGTGTGGCATCAGAGCCACTCTTTCTTGCCAACAGCGCTACAGCAGGAGGAAGGTGAACAAGCTGGTGGCAATGGCAAAGAGCAGGAACAACTCCAGCAGGCTCTTGCCCAGCTGTAGCCCCTTGGCATGGACTTTGCCATTCCCACCCCTGAAACCAGCCCTAGTCTTCATTACTTGCTGGTAGCTAATGGCACCAGCAACCTTCTATGTGGCTCCTCCCCACCTTAAGTTGCAAAACTTTGCTGTTGCAATCATCACTGTGGAGGAATGTGCACTTAACAATGGCATTGTGAGAAGACTGCATCAAGAAGAGGTGAAAGTAATGGGGAAAAGAGCCAAGACTGACAGATGGAGAGAAATGGGGGAAAGAAGGTGTGATTAAAATGGTGGTGGGTGTCAGGAAGCTGAGAACGGTTTGACTGGCTGCCTCTAGGCCTGGCTTTGCCAAAGCCACCCATCCACCCCTTCTCCTCTCCCATCCCCTTGCCCAAGCCACAGAACTTACGTAGGTTACTGTAAGGGGTTTGTGGTGAGACAGGGAAAGCAGGGGTTGGGGGAGAGGTCTCACCACCGCTGGAGGGTGGACTGCTTGGCGAGGTCCCCTGCATCTCTTCAAAGGCTTCCTTGTAGCTATGCAGATGGGGCTGTGAAAGAGAACCAGAATAAGTTATCAGCATTTAAAGGTCCGCCGTGCTGCCGATTCATGCAAACCCTTAGCAAATAGAAACAGGAATTCCTGTTTGTCTTTTTGTAAATGTTTTCCTCCTGGGCTAGCTCTTAAATTTCTTGCTCCAGTGCCTCCCTCTTTTGCCTTTTCACCCCTTTCTATCATCTCTAATTTCAGAGAAATTTCTATTATTGTTGGGAAGGGCAGTGGCTCTTTCCAATTTTAGCAGCAAGGATGCTTTTAACACAGGGGCGCAGGGCTTCTTTCAGGCCAAGGGCTGGATTCCACTGGGGGAAGCTCTTGGTCCGCATTCCAGAAGCAAGCAGGGCAGAAGGCAAAACAGGTAGAGCCAAAATACCCCAAATGCCAGCCAAATTCCACTTAAAGCTCTTAGAAAAGGCCTTTCAACGTTTTAGAAGGAGAAGGGGGCTGTTCAAAGGCTGGAACCAACCAATGTGCCATGGGTTGGGAGACAGGGGGCAGTTACAGGGGAAAGGGGGAAGCCCAGTGGGCCAGAGGTGTACTGCTGCTTTAACGGTGCAATAAAGGCACACCTCTGTTCTACACAGCAGCTTACATGCCTGCAAAATGTCCATCTCAGTAAAATGCAACCCCTTGATTATTTTGCAGAGGATTTTAACCAGCCTTAAATGTCTTTTTACCTTCAGTCAGTGACTGGAGATAAGAGCAGAAGAAGGTTTTGCACTGGATGGTGATTCCTGGGAGCCCAGATCTGGCCCAAGGTCCAGAGGCTCCCCATCCCTGCTCTTACAGGTATTCCATCATTTATGATGCTGGAAGCAGGAACAACCATGGCAATGTCACAAAGCACTAAAATAGAACAAGCACCTTCAAAGTGGAAGGCAGTTTCTACCCAAGCAATATTTGGTGAGGGCTCCTTATTTGCATGTCATTTGCCTATGCCATTGCCAATTAGCTCTTCCTTCTTCACCACCAGACTTTCTCTACTTACTGTAAAGAAATGGGACTAAAGAAATAACTTCCATCCGTTTCCGAGTTTCAAAGCAAAGGGGTCAGGAGGGGAGGGGGGGATCTTTTTAAAAAATGCACCTCCTTGGGCCTTCCTCCAGGGTTGGCAGATATGGTGCTGACCACTTCTGGGGAGACACAGTGAACTGGAGAGCGCACAGTGGGGCTTCGCGGTGAGCTTGGCTCCTGGGGGCTGTTCTCATACTGGCCTTCACTGGTGGTACGTCTCCGGATGGGGGCTTCAGTTTCTTCTGGCGACTTCTCCCGTGGTGACTGTACCTCTGAAAGTCCAATTGCAATATGAGGAAGTGGGTGCTGAGCCTTAACACAATCACAAATTCCACTAAGACACAGGGCCAGTATTCAGATTTTTAAGAGTGCTCTGGCATTGGAAAGGAAGGGGAAGTGGGATAAAACAATGGATTAATGAGGAAGAAAATGGGCAATCATTCACTTTCCGTTAGCAGATTATAGTGACAATCAGCAAGCACAGCTTTTCATATACTTAAAAACCTCACATATGGTGCCACCATGCTGATTCTGTAAGTCCTGCTCATGTGATTTCCCCTCTCCTTTTTGAGGGAGATGAGTACCAAGCAGGGCCCTCGGGAAACTGCCAGGGATGCCCCTGTGTCATACTTTAACTCTCCTACATGTCCCTGGCAGGGCACTGCTCCTTAGGTAAGAGTTTTAAATGTATGAACCAGGGCATTGGCTTTGGTAGGCTGTACTTAGGACAGGCGGCCTTAATGGTCTCCTTCTTGTTCTGGTGATCAGGTTCCATACATCCAATGCTGGCATACATCCTTCAGCCACCTGGACTTCTCCACCAGAAATTTTTATCTTCCCATCTTCATGCCCTTTTCCTCCCCGTGCCAGCATTTTCATATAATGGCCTGGGAAATGGCTGGCAGATGGGGGATCTGCATAAGGAGCTGGAAGGAGCTCTCTCTGAAGTCATGACCATCCCCCCAGTACCTTCCGGCCTGCCACAAATCTACCTCTGTAATCCAGGCAACACTGAGCCTGAAGCAGTGGGAAAGCGCTTGATGAAGGAATCACTCCAGAGGACTCAGGCAACTGAGCAAAGTCACACAATGACAGGGAAGGCAACAAGGCCACTGCTCACCCTGACCTGTAAAAGATGACTAAGATACTAATCTGCCTGTTACACGCCTCTTTCAAGTTACTGGTTCCGGCATTCAGGCAGGCATGAAGTTCTGCTTCAGAAGCCTATTCAAGAGTTTTAAAGCCTATTCAGGTTTATGGGAACAGCCCCTTCTCATTGCTTCTTGGTAACTAGAGAGCAAGGAGGGGGCTTGTAAGATGCTTGAGGGCTCCAGGTTCCAGACATTACTTTAAATGTGTGTTGAACTGTCCCCCCACCCACTGAATATTAGGTGTCCGTGTGTCCATGTGTGCACGTAGGGAATCCTGCTTCCCTCCTACTCTGCATTCTTGGATCCCAATCCAGATTGGGGACCCTTGCCTAGAGAAAAAAATGGAGAAAAAAGAAGAAAAGATGTAGCTGCTAGTGATGTAACTTTGGTCCTGGGAATACAACAAAACCCCTCGAACTTAGACATGGACTTACTTTAAAACAAGCTGATTTTGCTCTGAACTGAATCAAGCCCAAACATGTGTGTTTTATAGAAGATGACTGCAAACGGAGCCCAAGGAAGCTCTGGGGTCAAAAGGAAGCTGATTTCCGTGGATGCACAGCCACAAGGTTCTGAAAGCCATCCGCACGACTGGATTTTGTTAGCATGGACTTGACATGCTGGCAATGGCGGCACCTGCAACCATTCAAAATGTGGCCTGCAGCGGTACAGTGGACTCTGGGGTCCAGGAACACACACAGTCTGAGCAAGCGAGAGGGACCAAACCGTCCTTAAATTGTGGCACTCTCTTGCCTACAATGCATGGACGTATTTTAGGGCAGGTCGTCACTCGTTCAACTCATTTCTTAATGAGACAGTCTTTAGAGGCTCGACACTTCCGTTGTTCAAGCCTTAGCCAGGAAAAGAGCCGGGAATCTGCACTGCATTCCGGCCTGCCTCTTTCTTTGCTTTAAATAAAGAGCAGTGGGTTCTCCCCTGCACTCTTGCAACCCACCTTCAAGCACATTCAGATGATTTCTGCCCCTGCCCTGTAAGGCACTAGGCTGCCAAGACAGAGGCATCTTGGTGCACATCCCTTACGGACATTCGTAAAGCAGGCTCGTGAGATTTCCAAGCAGCCTTTGAGCCTGCTGGCAAATCTGGATCCTTCTTTGATTAGTAACAGCTATGCCATTTTCTCAGCTGAAGAAAGCCTTGCCTTTCACACAGCTGGGAGGGGGAGTGAAGAGAAGTAGGAATGCACTGCTCTGGGGCAGTGCTAAGATATTCCTGATACAGAAGCCCACTTGGGCAGAGAAAGAGGAAGGAGCCAGTATCCATGGTGACAGAAGCAACCAAATGTAACATCTGGAAGAAAGGAAAATCCACAGACTGAAGGGGTAGCCCATGTAACATTTTCATAGATTACGTTCTGCAGGGATGGCCTTCTGGCTAGTTTGAAATCCAGTAGAGGATCACAGAGCTGGAAAATTTCCAGGAAGTAGCATCATGATCTGGCTCTCGATCCACTCCACCTACCTCTAAACGGTGCTGTTTTCTTTGATGCTATATTTCAAGGAAGACAGTGGTACATTTGCTGTGATAATGCCCCTTCTGTTTATATTTGCATCATCTGGCATCAACATAAGACAAACGAATGGAAACTGGCTTCCTTTCTAAAACCCTGATTTTGCAGCTGCTGGCACAAGCCAGAAGGTCAACATGAGCCCTTTGCAACTTTTCAATTTCATCCTGAACATAACAAGCACAAAGTCAAGGCGAGGCACCAGCTTTTAGTGCCAGGAGACCTTGACTGAAGCACCAGCCTGTTTTGTTGGGGAACGGAGCGGAAATCAGGGCACAGAGGAGAGAAGTGGGCGAGAGAGAGAAGCCTACAGTCTCCGTAAAGGCTTGAGTCAGAAACTCATTTGGCAGCAGCAAGGCACAGCACAGGCAAGGTTCAGTGCCCAATGCAAAGGGAGCAAAGATCAGGAAGGTTCTGCTAACGTGTGCGGGGAAGGCCTGGAAAGGAAGCCATTGCTCTCTGATGCAACGCATTCCACTTCCCTCCCACACAGAGAGAATGGCCACCACCATTTCCTCTGGACTGCTGCTGCAGGCACATTTCAAAGGTCTCCTGCACCAGGCTGCAGGCCCCTCCCCTTGACCAGACTGTAGAAATCCTTCACTTTCCCCTGCCCTCGTGGGCTTTGTTTCCTCCTTCCTTTTTAAGTGAATGGGGACGGGGGAAGGAAGGAAGAACGGAACCAGTGTTTCAGAGCCAAGAGTGGCGACGCTTTGGCTCAGGGTGAAAAGGCTTGCTGGAATTATTGAGGACATAAAGAAAAAAAGATGTGCTCTAGCAAAATGCCACTCAATGAATTGTAACTCCTGCCCTCCTGTGCAACATTTATAAGCAAAACTCTAAGCCGAGAGATCCTTAGGGCAAGGCCACCATTTCCTGTAACCTTCAGCAAGGCTCTTCAGCTACAAGGGAACAATACCTTCCACCCAGCATAAACTGAATACAGTACGCTTCCTCACAATATTTTGGGCTGGGGACAAGTTCAAGATAAAGCACAGCTTCAAGATAAAGCACGTAGTGGATCAGAGTCCCATCCACTGAGGCCAAAGGAGCAGAAAAGTTGGGGTAGTGACTTGCTTGCCTGTTCACATATAGAGCAGGAAAGGGCCTCGCCTCGTCTCGCCTCTGCCCTGCCCTGCCCTGCCCTGCCCTGAAATGTAGCTCAGATATGTGGGAAACTAACCGTTCTTCCTGATTATGTAACTCAGATATGTGGGAAACTAAACCATTCTTCCATCTCACGTGTTCCACCATTTGGGGTATTAGCTCATCCAGCTCTGATACTGAACTGGACCCAGAACAAGTTGCTGAATGTGAAGGCCTCTGTCACTCAGCGAGTAGAGGACATGCTTTGCAGTAGCTGAATCCTAGGTTCAGTCCCTGGCAGCTCCAGTTTCAATAGGCTCAAAAGGAAAAGATGGAGAGGACATTGTCTGAGGCCCTGCAGAGGTGCTTTCAGTCAGAGCAGGCAATCCTGTGCCAAATGGAAGAAAGGTTGACCTGGCGTGATGCAGCATTCTCTGCTCCTGTCAGTGCAGCAGGAAAGATGGGGATGGGGATGGGAAAGGGGAAGGCTCCACTCCCTTCTACCACAAACTCCTTGTAATGTACAAAATAGACCCCTGCTCCATGTCTGGCAGACCCCAGCCTGTGCCCCAGGTGTGGGCCTGTTCCAAATTCCAAGAGGCTTTTTATTCCTACGGTTTCTCCTTGCTATTGCTGGCTGGACACCTGAACAGGTGAGCAATGAGAAGAGAATGGAGAAGGTAAAATCTGAACTGAGAAGGAAAGGGCCAATGAAGGTGCCTTGCCTGAGGGCTCCTCAGAACCTGGTTCTGGTGTGGATTTATCCTCCACCCTCTGCATTAGGTGTGAATGGGCAGGCATGTAAGTAAATGACTCCAAGGTGCTCAGTCATGAGTAGCAGCTTGGAGACTTGCAAACATGAGAGGCAAACTGCCTGCATTTCAGATATTCATAAAAGCACAACTGTGATTAAAACTGTATGCATTTATATGTATTCATAAACAGATGCTGAAAAACAGCAAGTGGATAAATAGTTTTACCCTCACAAATATGCAATGCAAATGAAGTGCATTCCTGTTCTCTTAAGAGTTCTTTGTAACTGGAAATTCTGCATAGCATTAGATTCAATGGTCTAGTGAAACCTTACTTTTTATTCTTTATCATTTATTAGAGAGAAGGCATGGGCTGAGGATGTGCAGGGCTCTCCAAGAATGTAAAGAACCACTACTCGACTGAAGGTGACCAGGTGGCCTGTTTTACAGAGAAAAGCCCTTCCTTTTATGTAAATAGCCTTGAATCAAAACTCCCTTTCTTCTTCTGGAGGAAATACCAAAGAAATATTTCAACAGCAAAATGCTTCACTCTCAAAGACAAATTGAAATATTGTTCATGACAAATGGGAGCAGAGAGCCTTAAGAACATATGAAGTCCTAAATGACTTGGGACCACTACACCTGAAGGACAGCCTGGCCCCAAATGCACCCACCCAGCCTTTAAGATCAGTTTCGGAGGAGCTTCTGAAAGAGCCATCCTCCAAGGAGGTAAGGAGAATGGCAAATAGCAAGAGAGGCCTTCTCAGTAGTTGCGCCCCACCTGTGGAACAGCCTCCCGAAAGCAGTTCACCTGGCCCTTTTGCTACAATCTTTTTGGTGCCAGGCACAAACAACTTTATTTTCTAGACATGTTAACAAATGATTTTATCTAGGATAATTTTAAAGGTGTTTGTTTATACAGCATTGCTGTTTTAATCTATCGTGCTTTAAATGATCATCCCTCAGCTGTATATTGTTTTGTGTTTTATTTAACTGCTTTTTTATTGCTCTGTTGTGTTTGTTATTCTATTATAATCTGCTTAGAGAGCCCATGGGCCAATAATGCAGAATGTAAGATTCATAGTAAATAAATAAGCAAACAAACAAACAAACACATTAACATCACAGTGTACACAATAAAGACTCCTTCTTTGGTCTACTTTTGGGTCTGGTTTCATATTAATGGACTTGCACCCAATGCAATATTAAGGCTCAGTTCAGACCTAACAATCTTATTTTATATGAGTTCTTGCTTTGAAAATGAGCTGCATGTTCTCATGCTTCTTGGTTTCTTGTGTGGCCTAAGCTTGGCAACTATGGCTTAATCTCTGTTTACAAGCCTGGTCTGGACAATAAAGGAAACTGTGGTTGAACAAGCCAGGAGAGCTGTGCACATGAGGGAAGGGGAGGGCAGAGAAGATGCTGTGCTGTGCACAGCTTGCTTGCTACCCAGTCAGCCCTGATCTATCATACTCAGACCGTGGTATCTCCACTGCGTCTACTGCAAGTCTTCCAGGCAAACTCCTGGGGAACATTGAGCAGGTCTTTCATACAAGTCAGACAAATGGACAAACAAAAGCCTCTTCTAATTTTAGAACTGTATGATGCCGTAGGAAAACTATTTCCCTCCATAGATTTATGAAGGTGTTAAAATTTTTCATTTCAAACTTTCCCAGGCATCCACCATCATAATGTGGCTGGCACAAGTTGATGGTCTGGTGTGGGGTTTGGGCTGAATCACACTTTGATTCTTGGGGAAAGAATAATGCCTTCCAGCAGAGCACTTGATAGCAGTATGGGGAGAAATCTTTGGGGGACAGCACAATATATGCACTTGGACTGGTTCCATCTGTCCATTGTGATGGTAGGTGGTAGCAAAGATAATTATGTGTACGTGGCAATGGGGATTTTGCTTCTTCCTCCATACCAGCCCTAACATTGTATAAAGCATGTGTGCACAGGGCCCAAAAGCAGTGAAATAAAACATGCATACGCAAAAGCCCATTCCTCTAGTCTACACAGCTCTCTTTCCAGAGTGACATGCTATGGTATGCATATTACACTCCTTTAGAAGCAAGTGCACACTGTATATAGACACCATGGACCATCATTCCAAGGAGAGACCGTAAGTGAAAGCTATCAAGCATTCAACATTAATACTGGAGTGGCAAGTGAAACAGACAGTCTGTATTGGTAGACAACCTTGTGCCCAACAGATGTGCTGGACTACAGCTCCCTCCAGTCCCACCCCACAGGATCAGGATTGTGGGAGCTGCAGTCCAAGACATCTAGAGGTTGCCTATCCCTGGCCCATGGGATATTTCCCCTAGGCTCTGGGTAGTGGAGAAGAAAGGAACAAAAGGCAGTGTTAAGTTGACCGAAGCTCTGTGAAATTTTACCAGAGTACAAATTCCAAACCTTTTTGGGGAGAGGTGGGTGGATTCAGAAGACCCAAGAATCCTGTATTGGGGCAAATGGAACAGTTAAATCAACATACAACACCTTCTGTTTGAATGGCAACCCATGTTTTGAGATACAGTGATTGGCAATGCTTTCAAGGAAGAGTCCTGAGGCTGGTGAGAAAATGCTTGGACACCTTTATATACTGAGGCTGCTGCACCAATGATGGAGACCAAAATCAACAGCATCCAGGAGCCCTTGCTGCTGAACACATAGTCCCAGTAAAAACTTGATCTTCTCAGCAGAACTCCCGTTCCATGAATACCGTGCATGTAACAGGACACTGCTGAGCAACCACACATTTGAAATCCATTGACAGGTTCATTTCTGCAGAGCAACCTGAGGAGCAAGACCCTGAGAATTTACACACCCACATGTTCATTCCCTCTGCTGGCCATACAGAAGCCCCTGTCCCGATTCCAGGCAATGCTGTTAGACACAGTAGAAAGGTCTGAAGTGATATTTGTACAACACACACACCCTTCGATAAACTTCCACGTGTGGCCAAGCTCTGTAGCAAGTAGGCATCCCATTCCTGGCCTTTAGTACTTCTCCTCCTTGCCAGCCCCCATACCCATGCAAACTGCTTCCCTCCACATTTATGAAGAGACTGGAACAGCACCAGCAACAATGCAGAAGTGAGTGTGGAGTGCACTGAAATAAACAGGCCACCTCCCCAGCCCTTTTGCAAGTGATTTCTTGACAACACCACAGATGAACATCACACAAAGCAGATGAGTCCACCAACAAGCTCATTAAACATGGTGCGATGGAGGGAAGCACAACCAATAATAAAAATAAGGATCTTTGGGGTAGAGCAAGGCTGTACTTAGAGTCCAGTATTGGTAGGTGCAAAACTTTGGGCCAGATAACGCAAGGATTTTAATCCAGTTGAACACACAGATATGTCATGTGTGAGAAAGGGTCTTTAAACTATCTGAAATAATCTTCTGCGTTGAAAAGAAGCTGACAGGGTTAGCCCTAACATTATCTAAAGTGAGGGAGTCACTTCAAGTGGTAGATACCAGAAAGTAGCAACAGGGTGCTGGGGGAAGAGAGCCATGTGGGCCAGGTGGTCTGACCTTTGCTGGTATGGATAGATGAGCAATGTTTAAGGTTTCTAGGGTTTGCCAAACTTTGCCTCACTGATCATCTTGTGCCTGGGGTTCATTTGCTGCTCACTTTGAGCAAGAAAATTGTGCAAAGCAAGCAGTGACTAGACACAAAATCTGAGCAAATTTCCCTAAATTTGCACAACTTTCTTCCATAAACTGATATGGGACTAATTCAGTTTACAAGAGACATTTGTGTGAATTAGGTAGTTTAGACAAATAGAACTTGGGAAGTTGCTAAAGTCAAATATGAGCGCATGTTCCGCAATTTACAAATACTTTTTCTGGGCCTGTGCTCATGCTCGTAACAACATTCAGGGCTTCAGTCAGGGCACGCTGCATGTTTTGCAAGCAAAAACAAAATCTTCCTTAGTTTCTAGCTCTTTGCCCTCACCCTAAGTTGGTCTGCACCTTTCAGGTGTGGTGGACAGTATTCCATCGCCAGTATTGTAGAGCTATTCGACTGCAAGCCCAACTGGCTTTTGTACAAGTAATGGAAGGGATGCCATTTGCAGCTCAGGCAGCAAAATGTTGTGGGAGCTAGAGAGGAAGTCCTTCTGCCATTCCTTCCACAAATTAGGGAACAGGCTATGCCCTAGTTTTTGCAGGTGCCATTTTGGAATGGACTCTAAACAGCTGCAACCTTCCACTTCCCCACTGGGGAAAGAAGCCCTGCCTTTCTGTCCTCCATGCAACAGGAAAACAGCAACCATGCAGGAAAGCCAAGGCAGGAAGGAAGTCTGGGAAGAAAGAAGAGGAAAAGCAGCAACAGAACAAACCAGAAAAGGAGAAGGATCGTTGTCGGTGAAGAGGAGGATGGGGGCTTTTCATGCTCTTCCGGATGTCCCGGAGTTTGGCGTTGTACTCTGACAGGGGGAGACGGAGGTAGGGTGGGTAGGAGCAGAGGAGCAGCAGGAGAAGGTCAACCAAGGATGAAACAAAATCCATCACGGAGAGTGAGAGAGTAGTCAAGACAGAACAAACATCACAACAGAGAAAGGGGGAAAAACACAAGAGAAAATATTAGTTTGAAGTTTACTGCATGCCTAAAGGCTCTGTGATCTGGGGAGAAGGTTAGGGTCAAGTTCATAAGATGAGAAATCAGTGAATTAATCTAGTGACCACCTCCTTCATGGAAACTTGGGTGGGTACACTAAATACAGAATTTATGAAGTGATAAATTCCACGATAGACCTAATGTTCATTGGATTTAAGAGAAATTACAGACAGATATGACACCACTGATCATCATCATCATCTACTCTGGATAATGTTTTTTGGGCCTCAGTTTTCAATCTGGTAATTAGAGGAGGCCATCTCTGACTCAGCCCACAAAATAAGCAGGAGCTGGACTACACAAGCTAAGATATTACAAGAACTGGCCGAAAGGTGTGACAGAGGAGAGCCAGCGGTGGATTAGCATTAACAGGTGCAAGCCAAGACCCACCACTGGCCCTGCTCCTCCTCCATGTTGCTAATCTTTCAACACATGTGAACAGTGACGACAGCAAGAAAAGGGGGGCTAAGCAACCGTGGCAAGTGGAACCAAGTGATCTGGCCCAAGGAGCTCACATTACGTAAAAAAGAATCTGGACATGATGCAAATGTGTTCATTATGTAAATTTGGCACTGTAAACAAAGATGTGTTAATTACCTTCTCTTATGGGGTGAGGCACATCTCTGAGAAAGCAAAACCTGTGCCTCTTTGAAAGGGGCCCTCATTTTTCTGCATTTGCTCTGCACCACCATCTCAGGTTGCTCTCTGTCTAGCTGCTGTCCTGCCTTTTGGGGTGCCTGCCAGTTGTGGTTGTGTGTTGTCTGTATTAAGTAGCAACAGTGTACAAGTTTAACATCTATATGGAATTTAATGCAATCCTGTTCCACCAGAGAAGAATTTAGACTCAAAATGCCCTGTGATTCATGTGTGTGCTTGTTTAACGAGAAGTTCATACCTCTGCCATCAATCATATTGGGTCCACTTTTGAGGTGGGGAAAATGACACTAACTAGAATGGCCTTCCCATATGTATTTCATGCACTTACTATCAAAAGCAGCCTTCTCACCCATGCCCATTCCCATACACGGTGCAATCTTACATTCACTTACCTGGGAGTAAACTCCATTGAAGACAATGGGATTTACTTCTTAGTACACATGGACGGGATTGTGATGTGTGTCACCCAGCAATTTTAAAACCAAATAACCCATTGCTTCTATTTTCAAAAAATGGGAATGTTAGACTTTGTGCCCTCCATACTTTGTGCAACTTCCTGTTCTTACTTTATCAGATTTTAATCAACCTGCAGTCCTAGGTGATGTGGGCAGTGCTGGTCCTTAGATAGTTAGCCCCAAGAGAAAGACGACACACATACATATAGTTACTGTTTAGGAACATTTCTGGCTGGTTGCATGGATAGGAATTTCCCAGAGTGGGTAAACATACAAAATGACTTCTGGAGGCATCTCTGACTCATCATGTGAATGGTGTCAGGGCTTCCATTCAGGCACAGGAACTCTTGAGCCAGGCAGAATTCCCAGTAGCTGAGGGATGCTTAGGTTTCTCTGGGAGGCGAGCCCTCCTAGAGGACTTTTGCCTTAATCATTGCAGCCCTGCTCCCATCCTGTTGCGTAGGAAATCTGAGTTCTCATGACAGCGAGAATCAGGGAGGAGGAGTATCTGTGAAATTCCAAACATACCCGCCTTGGAACAAACAGGCAATTTATAGTAGCATGAATTGTAAATAACATGCCAGCCCCTACTCTCTCAGCTTGTTCCACGCAGTTCCAGCCCCCCTTCTCATCATTCCCCAGCGTCTGCCAAATCTTTTGATTCACTCCATGCGCGGTGAGCATGGCACTCCTAATACTAACTGTGAGCCTGGACTGCAATCCAGGCTTCCACAATGAGATAGCTATTTGTTCCCCTAGGATTTTTGTACACGACATCTCCTGGAAATGCCCATCAAAGTACATCTCAGATTGAATATTCCCGTAACATAACAACATTCTGTAGGGCTGCCCTGTCTCTGCAGTGGGGCCAGCCATGCCAGTAGGCAGGGTGTGGTGGCTGCCTCAGGCAGCTGTTGCTGGGAGGCACCAGAAAGGTGTTGGAAAGGGAGCTGTGGTCTACCCTGTGCTAAGCTAAACCAGCGTGGGGCCACCAGGTGTGGTGGAACATGCTGTCCCACTGCTGTGTTGAACAACGATTTAACTGCCAGTCCAAGCAGACTATGAACATGGAATGGGAGGGGGCACCGTCTTTGCTGCTGCTGCAAGCAACAGAATGTCTTGAAGGGCCGGCCCCACTTTCCAGAACAGGCACAGAATAGCTGAAGAGCATTGCCCATAGAATCATAGGGTTGGAAGGGGCCAAGAAGGCCACTGGGTCCAACCCCCTGCTGTTGCAGGACACCAGTTCCACCCCAACTCTATAATTAACCACTGATTCAATACCAGCTGTCTCTTGTGGTACTGATACATCAGCCTAGCCTTCTCCAACCTGGAACCCTGTAGATGTGTTGGACCAGAGTTGCCATCATCTCCAATTATCACAGAAACCTAAAATAGCCTATCCATAACAGTCGGGGTGGCATATGACGCAGAAGACAAGGGGATGATAATATCTCAATAATGCCATGAGATTTTTATTCTATCAGCTGAGTCCCTCTGCTCTGAAAGCAGCAGGAAAACCCCCATCTCGGTGGAAGTAGAGCAGCTGTAACTGCTGCAGAAATCTTGCCATGGCCCTGACAGAGCTGCAAGGGCCTCTCAGTGGTTGCCCCCTTTACTCATCCCGCAGTCTTTCATTTATTGATTCATTGCATTTCTATGAAATTTCAGTATCTTAACACTCTCCCTTTGATGTGCATCTAAACGGACATGGAGCTACGTATATATTAGCAGTGGGAGAAGTGGGGCTACCCCACTGGTCTGGTTGCAAGGCCTCCCCCACAAAGGCTTCCTCTCCCACAACCGCTACTCGTAGCACCAGCCGCCATTCCAGCAAGCTGCACGTACTAAGGCAGATGTGCTAAGGAAGCACAGCTATTCCACCTGGCCTGCTGAAAGGCTGCTTCGTTTATTCCTCTTCCCTCCCTGTGGTGTCTTTTGACATGCTTAAGCCTGTGCACAAAAGCTGACTTTATGACTGATTGTATGCCAGTCACTCCGGGGCTTGTGGTTTCCTGGATGATCAGTGGTTTGATCCGGCAGGGCTCTCCTTTTCTTCTCATGTTCACATCGGGACTCACTGTAGGGTTGTATTCTTAGCTGCTGCATCCCAAGCCCAGCTTCCACTGCCTTCATAATGTGTTTGACAGACAGAACAGCCCCCAGACCAAACACTGATACCGAAGTCTGACCTGCACCCCCTCCACTTTCTGCCACTGACTGCTGCTGCTGTGTAAAATATGGCATGCAGATTCTTAAGGATTCTTTAAATTGTCCAAAGTGTTAGGAACAGGGAGGATGGGTTGGCAATGCCCCCAGTTCAAGACCATCAGTTCTGTTTATGGCTGGTTTCAGGTGGGACAGATTCTGAGCTCAGTCTCTCTAAAGGAGAGGTGGTGAGTGTGTGTTTTCTAGCTGCGTGTTTGCAACTGAGATCATGGACAGCTACACACACTCCCTTGGGTACCACAGTGACTCAGTCTGGTTTCCCATTCCACAGTCCTCCTTATCCCAGAACTGAGCCATTTTCTTTCAGCTGAATGCCTTTAATGCCTGTGGCCAAGAGCTGACCTGGACAGAGCCCAGCAGCTGAGGCTGGCACTGGGGCCTGGACTGGAGCCAGGAAATGTCTGAGGAGTTGTGCAATTAAAAACTTTTCTGTGTAATTACCAGTGCTGGAGCAGTGGAAGCCAAGGCTGCATGCTGGGCACAGTTATCCCCATATTCTTGAACCAGTTGTGTTGCTGCCTTGATAGAGAATTCCAGTGATTTAGTCCTGATGGCTGGTCATTTGGCAAGTGCAGCTGGTGAGGGCCATGCCTGGCAGTCCTGATCCATCATGTGAGAATTAGGAAGGGTGCTCAGGGAATTATGTTAGAGAGCTGGTGTGGTGCAGGGGTTAAGAGTGCTGGACCACCGGGGACTGGGGAAATCTAGTCTCCACTTAGCCATGAAGCTTACTGGGGAACACGGGACAGTCAATGACTGCCAGTCCAGCCCAGCCTACCCACAGGGCTGTTGTTGTGAGGATAAGATTGAGAGGTGAAGAACCTTGTGTGCTGGCTTGAGTTTCTTGCAAAGGAAAAGGACACAGATGATGATGATGGAAGATATCCTCTTTCAGTACCATCAATACCAATTAAAATAGAGGGTCATAGATATTTAAAGATATTTAAAGATAATTCAAACCAAGGTATATGTGTGTCTGTATATGTGCATTCTACATGCTTCCATTCTAGGTGGAAAGAAATTTAAAATCTAGAAACTGATGAAATTTGAGCCAAGGAATCTTGGCTCTGCTCCTTTCCTTTCCTTTCCTTTCCTTTCCTTTCCTTTCCCTTCCTTTCCCTTCCTTTCCCTTCCTTTCCTTTCCTTTCCTTTCCTTTTTCCTGAGATGGTAAGCTACTAGTCCTCAGAGAAGATAAGTATTTAAAGACAAGTAGTATCTGCTTGAAATGATGGGCCACACTGCTTGGGGTATCAAAGAACCTTTCTGTTTGGAGTTCCCATTCTATGTTTCTTTCTGAGCAGGTTACAAGTAGGGGAAGAAGGAAAGGTTCCATGGCATTGAGTTTGCTAGCAGCAGAGGGAAAACATACAAGTTTAAGCACCAATTACATTTTCCCTCTGCAGAGTAAAGCAACTACAGAAGATGATTTGAATTTGTGGCACAAGATCACCTCACCCCCCCCCCCCCCCCCCTGTTGTTCCATGGCCCCAATAACAATTAGAGGGTCCATGGCTGGTCTTGCTGAAAAAAAGGAACTCCCAACTCAGCTGTTATATCTATTTTGACCCTTACATACCAAAGGTATGGAGAGCAGAATCATTCATTTAGTTCCCATTTTAATGTAAATCTAATTAAATCTTCCTGAATCACTTTGAGAACTGAAACAGTTATCCTGCTGTATTCTCATCACTCTGAATTTTGCAACAAAATTCTGCAATCAAAACGTGTCTACAGTGATGTACATGTTGGAGCAAAGTGTGCTAAAAAAAACAATAACATGCACTTGTTGAAAAAAATAATATATAAAATTGCATTATATCAGGGGAAAATTGTTTCAAAAATGTATATATTAGGTAAAATGGCATTCAAAACAGATATAATTGGAAAAATGTGCATGAAAAACATGCACACCTTTGGGTAGATTATGAAAAGGATCACAAATGGATGTGGAAACAGAACACGACAAACTCAAAGCTGCAAAAAAGGCAAAACTGATAGAAAACAAAACTGACAGATTTATCTATCCCTAATCAAAGGAGTGGCCAGATAATGGCACTTTGGTGTTGTACCTATGCCTCTCTTCCTATGGTTTTGTGCACCAATTCATTCTATCTCATTCTTGCCCTGCCCTGCCCTGCCCTGCCCTTTTGATTATTATCACACGAATCCCTAAAAAATGCTCTGAATTCTGCAAAGACTATGGTAGTGAAGTACTTGAAGCCATTTCAGCGTATGTGCCTTGCTTGCCTGGAGTGAGTTTCAGTCTTCTGGATGCAGAGAACACAGAGGCCTGCCTGGGACTGCCAGAGCTCCAGGCTTCAGCTATGGAATACTCCACTTTTGTGGGTGTGGTGGACATCTCTTTCCTGCCTCAATATCCTGCAGCAAAAGCATTACGGCTCTTGTGTGGCTTACTGCACACACAAAAGTCAAAAGCCCAGCCTTACATACAGCAGCTGTCCAAGTGCTTGCTGAGCAATTTATTCCTGAGCTCTAGCCCCAGAATCTCAGCTAAATTGTGCGCTTTCATGCTAAATAGCAACAGCTACAAGGACATGTTGGTTTTCATTTGGTTTTGGATGCAGGTTTGGGGTTGGTAATGGCTACTAGATCCCTGGTGTTGGCTCTCTAAATAGGAAGAAAAACAGCTGGCTCAGATCAGTACTGGCTCTCCTTCTGGGGAAGGAAGGGAAGCGCCCAAAACTCTAAAAGGCTTAGAAAATGTTTGCAGCTGCCATGGCTAATTCATGTTACAAGGAAACTACGGGCAGAACATGAAGAGCCAACGTGTACCATGTTCCACAATCGCACAGTCAACAGGGATCTGCAGTAATCCTGGAGAGAAGCAGAAGGGTCTCTGGTACTAGCTATAGGATAGGCTTGGGGTTGTCCACACTATAGGACAGATGCAGAAGCAAAACCATACTAAGACAATGCAGAGGACACCATATGGCTAGGGTTTTAAAGTTTAGGCTCAGGGTGCACATTTGACCTGCCTGGCACCCCAATCCAGCCCTCCAGAGTTCCCCAGAGGGCCCCACTCCTTTCCCTTGGTCCCATCCCTTTTCCTTAGCCCTACTCCTTCCCCAATTACTAACTGTTAGATCATTTTCCAGCTTCTGCAATGTTTTCCCCATTCTGAAAGGATGAAATGCCTTTCCTAAAGCCCAGTTACTGGTAGTATGGGCATTAAGCTAAAACAGACTGGTACTTTTAGGTCCTACCTAAAACTGCCTTCAGGCCCACCCATCACTAGAGCCAGGTCCCCAAGTTTCTCCAAACTGAATCTGGACTTCAGGCTGGAAGAGGTTCAGCATCCCTGATATACAGAGACAAACTAGACAATCAGATACTTTCTGCTTTAGTATATGGCACATTTACCGAAAAGGTGAGCCAACTTTTTGGAACTCTTTTATTTTAAAACCACTGATGATCAAATTATCTTCTGTTAAAAGGCAAATACACTGAAAGTATTTTAGTGTATTTTCACAGCTTTCCCAAGTCTGCTTCTGACATCTTTGAACCATTTTTTTAATGGAGAATGTAAGGTCTTTGGACATAAGCCGTGTACTTGTGTGAGATGCTAGGCACCTAATACATTGCTGGTGCTTAATAAATAGCAAACACAGTATCAGCAGCCTTGACAAATCTGGACTTGTTTCAAGATGGGATGTTGTGGGTGCAAATGCAGCACAAAGGGGTTGTACTAGTGGTCCTTCAGTGGAAAGAGTTCCGCTTATCCACTCGGTGTTGGACAAAGACACAAATTCACAAACGCAGGACCCTTCGTAAGTACACGTCTCCCACTCCCTTAAAGCCATTTAAGCCCTAAGGATACAGAACCCAGACTCATAACAAGCAGTAAGGTTTCCTACCTGCTACTCTGTGGGCCACCAGTCCTTCAAGGTGCAACGGCTCTTCCTCTGAGGGCCGAGATGTTTGTTCATAATTATCAGCATCCTTTGCTGGGACCTGAGCTTGAACTGTCATCACCGGGGACTGGGGTGACGAAAGCAGGGGGTGCTGCCCTTCCATGAGCGTGTATGCCATTGCATGAGGCCTGGGAGAAGTAGGAGGGCTCCCTGTACCCTGGTCATAGCTTTTGGCTTGTGTTGCACTGGGCTGTTGATTCTGATAGCCATACGGTGAGTAGGCCTCTCTGTAGTCCTGTGCCGGACACTCTGGCTCTCCAGCATTATGGAGCAAGAGCCTCGTGGGATGAGCTTTAGGTACTGGTTCAGGCAGCTGGGACACAGGGGTGCCCAAGGAGTTGTGTGAAGGACTTCCTGGAATGGGACCAAAGGCATTGGCAGACTTTGGTTGCACCACCTGAGGACCACTGACAGGCTGGGCAGACACTGAGAGAGCCACAGCACGTGGCCTGTCTTCTCTGGAGGCCACCGGGACACTCTGGGATTTGTGCATCACAGAGGTAGAGGGATCCAGATCAAGCATGAGCATGTTGAGGGCTTCGATGGACTGATCTATCTCCTTTTGGGAGGCCACCCTGGGGAACTCAGGGATGCTGATGCTGTGAGAGGGTGCTGCTTGTGAAGGGCTCGGCTGGGGGCTTGCACTGGAAACACTCAGACTTTGACTCTCTCGGGTGCCATCTTGTTGGCGGGATGGTGGCCTGCTACCTCCACTTTGCTGCTGCCAAGAGTTAAGTCCCCTCTGGACAGCTTCCCGGCTACTCGTGCTTCGGGCTGGTGCCTGGGGGAGCTGAGGGCTCTCAGCAGTAGCTGTAGGGAAGGACTGGGAGCGATAGATACCATTTGGGTCATAGCCATATGAGTACTGCTGGCTAGATACTGGTAGCTGCGGCTGCAACCAGCCTGGAGCGGGGAAGCCGTGCTGGTAGTAGTCAGCCAAATTTTCCTGGGCAGACACTGAAGGCCGGATGTGCCCATAGGGATCCTGGGGGTGACGCCCCATCATGCTCCGCAAAGTGTTCTGGTTGTTGTAGGGGTAGCCACCATTGATCACAGTCTCCGAGTCATGCAGCTTGTCTATGCCGTTGAAGTTGGATGAACCGTTGGGCAACGAGTTGAGGCTCTCCATCCGGGGGGCCTCGTGGTAGCCCATGTCGCTGGTGTTCGTGGTGCCATCAAAGGAGGACAGGGTGCCCAGGCTCCCTACGCTGTGCCCATCTTGGTTGGGCAGCTCGTCATCCAGAATGTCTGTTTCTCGCTCTGCCACCAAGCCAGCGGCCTCCCCATTGACATGCACCTGAGCAGGAACTATGTGGCGGCCTGATGCAGCAGAGGTGGCTGCGGTCACCCCAGTGGGGTTGTGGTTATGCATGGCAGCTTCGTTTGCCAACCCAAAGCCACTGAGCAAGCTGTCAAGCTCCCGTTTCTCTTCGGGCGTCAGTATAAGGTTGTTTCCTCCGCTGCTGCTGGGGGCCACTGGCACCGTCTGCTCATCGGTCTTGTCTGTCTTCGTGGAAGCAGTGGAGTTGCCTGAATCGCTGCTGACTGAGAGCGTGTGCTCAATATGGTTGGGGGCTGCCGAAAGAGTGATGCGGTTGGTGTTGACAGCCCCAGTGCTGCCATGAAGCGAGTCTTTCTTCTTCACCTTGGCATAGAGGCTCCCGTCCAGAGGCCCCTGGGTGTGCCCAACCTCTGCAGGGGGGGGGGGGGGGAGAAGGAAGACAGGGAGAGCAACGGTTAGCCCACGTTGCTCCAGAAGCAAAGTGTGCCAGTTAAGATAGAAAATATCTCCTGGCCACTCATTTGTATTTAGGGACACTGCACTCTGCCAGCCAACCAACTCCAAGTGCACTATTATCAGATCCTGTGCCCTCCAGGCCTCGGCAAAGACATGGCGCCCGTGTGTCTCTCTGAGGGCAGCACAGCCTCCACCACATTCCATTCCCACAGGAGCCAGAGAAGCACTGATGGCTCCTGAGCAAAATCCAATTTACTAGCTCTTTTCCTTTTTACATTCCTCAAAACACAGGATGTTTTTGTCACAAATGCACCTGCATTGATCCAGGCTTCAATGAAAGCCTTTCTGCAAATGGAAAACAAGCCAGCAGGGATTGTCTGGAGGATGAAGGTATGAGGACGCAAGAGACACAAAAGTCATCTAGTCAGGTCTGCAAAGTTTATGACCACCATGCCAAATGCATGCACTTGATAATCCCACCCCCCCTCAATCCATATGCCTGGAACTGCAAAAAACAAAGCAAGGAAAAAAAGGAGTCTTCAAGCACCAGGCAAGCCACACTGCCTAGCTGTGTTTAGCCTAGTAAGTCACCAGTTGTACAGCCCTGATACTGTTCAGTATTCAGAAGATGCTAGCCTTTCTGACCAGGGAAACCCCCAGCCTCCAGTGTACGGAGTACTCTTCTGAGAGGGCAGAAGAAGCCAAAGTGTGCCATGCCAGAGGATCATGAAAGGCCAGATGGCATTTAACCAAATTCAAGGGCCCAAGGAGAGCAGGGCAATGTATTTCATCTATTGAAACACTGTCCTCTTATTGCAGACCAAAATAAAAGAAAGGGGGTTTAATGCAAGCAATCTCCAACCTGCTCCTGAAAGTTGCCATTCTAGCAGCAGAGGAATATAAGTTAAGAAGCAAGGCTACCCTATGTCCTGCTGAAAGATTACTTGCCGTCCTCCCTTCTTACCTCCCCATTCCTTCTTCCTCTCGTGTCATGCCTTTTTCAATTCATTCTTGTGTTGACGATTGCATGTAAGCTACTCTGGGAGGCTTTACAGAGTGGGATGAACACACTTTAAATAAACAAGCAAGAAACAAAGAAAGTTTGGTGTGCAGAAGCTGCCTCCATTTAAGATATTCTGGAACCTGGGGCTGAGGTGACATGGACAACAGCAGGCCATTGTTACTAATACATGAATTAACTGCAGATAAGACTCCCTCGCACTTTTCAGTGATAGGGGAAAGAGCTAAAAAGGGACCAAAGGTGCTTGTAGTGTGGTAAATGCAGATGTGTTGCCATTGGCTGGTTTCTCTCCCCTCTACACCCCTTTAAATGCCAGCTGTGTTCTTGCTCTGTACCCCAAACCTATATCTATCCAGAGTAAGGGATGTGCAATGCAGAAAGCACTGCCTTTGGGCAAGAATTTATCTGTTGTTTGAATAGGTAATTCCAGCATTAAAAAATGAATAAAATAAACCCCTTGTCCTTAAGTGAAACACCATTAGGAAATGGACGGTGTTGTTGGCTCATACATTATTTTTTCTTTGCAGTTTAAAATGCAGATATTTTCAGCATGTATGAGCTGGGATATTTTTAGTCTTTATGTAATATAGATGCCTTGATATGTGATTGCGTTAAAATTGAAGCAACTTGGATTGTGTGATTGCCCCAAGATGAACGTCTGTTCACACTGCAGAGAACCTTTTTTCATAACCAGAAAGTTCCTGTCTCTTTTTTTAGGTCCCCTGTGGGGTTTCCTGGAACTGTGTGCGCTGCAGTACAGAATGCTCTCATTTAGGGGAAAAAGTGACTTCGATCTGGCAGTGAGCCAAGGATTGATTCAGGAATGGAAGATGGGCTAATGGAAGAGCATGGAGTCAGAGAGCTCCGAACTGCAGACAACAAGCACTTCTGAAACTGCTTCACAGCCCTGTGCTTCCAGCAGGGAGCTAAAGGTCTTTCCCACAGAATACCAGCTAAGCAAAAAGCACACACACACGCACACGCACACAGAGAGAGAGCGCGAGCGAGCAGATTCAGTGTAACAGTCAGGCAGTGCAAGCAGAAAAGGATAGTTTTTGGAATACATATACACAGGTTTAAAAAACATACACTCTCTCTGTGTGCATGTGTACATACATGAGCATTTGAGGTCTCCAACACACGTTGGCATCCTAACCCCAACCCTGCTCCTCATTTTTAAATTTTATTTATTTTATGTGTTTAACTGGACAGCTGGAAAGTGAAGCACCAGCTTTATTTGCAAGAATACCTCCTGGCTCAGAAAATAAAAGTGATGAGTGACTGCATCACAGTTTTGGTTTGAGGTGTGCCCAGCCATCCAGATGGAATGAAAAATCCTAGAGCGGCCAGAGGACTTGTTTTATATGTTTTCTGTATGTTTCTCTGATCGTTGATTTGCCTTCTGTGACATGGACGCCACAGCAGAAAACTGCAATTTCAAAATCATCATTATTATTACATTTATAGCCACTTTTCCTCCTCTTTCAAGGAATTCAAAGCAGCTTACGAGGTTCTCCTCCTCCTTTCCATTTAATCCTCACAACCCTGTAAAGTAGGTTAGGCTAAGAGGCAGCGACTTGCCAAATCACTGAATGGGCTTCATGGCTGAGCAGAGGCTAGAACTCCGATCTCTTGAATCCCAGAGCAGCACTCTTAACCTCTATACAACACTAGTATGGTTTTGTGTCTTGGAACTCAGATCTCCATTCCTTCTTTGTGTGTAGGTTCTTGGGCAAGTGACTTTTCCTTTAGTCTCACCAGCTGCCCTCTGGGAAATCAGTGTTTGGGGGCTGGTGATGCCCACCACAACAACCATTCTGGGAATGGGCAATCCCCCATGGCAGCCATTTTGTGAGCACAATCATCACATCTTCTCAATATTCTACATGTGCCCACTGGTCCAAAAGTTTGGGGAATCTGTTATATGCAGCATACACGCTAAAAATGATCAGTTGACTACTAACAATCATGCTGCAGACATATTTGTCTGCACAAAGAGTAACCGTGAAAAATAGACACAGACCATAGCATTAAACCAATTCATGCAAACAGAACAAGCAGCTGTGCATTCTTATAAATGCCGGTGATGGTGCAGATCAATAATCATCATTCTGGCGAACAGTGATGTACACCTCACAGAGCTGCAGCCATACAATACTGTAGTGTTTTTTGCTATGTCAGACCCAAGCATACGAAATCATTTCTGACCTTTCTCAAGAAACAGCTCCACCGCACACACTTTCTCTGAACTGACCTTTCTCACAATGACTGTTTGTAGACCCCAAGTGGCCTGTCTGCAGTCACATCTCCCACTTCACTTTAAAAAGATGGGATGAAGCTCTAACACTCTTCCCAAGAGTTGGACAGTCCCATGTAGCCCTCAAATCAACTGGTGAACTTTGTAGGGCAGCTACAAGTAGCACTGAAGGAGAAAGCCTGCTTCAGCCTTCCTCTCTTCTTGAAGTAACTTCAGCTCATCAGAGCTCTAACCTATCCCTCAGCCTTGGTGTTTTCTGTATGGATAAATATAAACTCTGGCCTAAAGGGGTCTGTATATCCAGATGTCTTAGTACTGCTGCTGTGAGAAGCAAAGCACAAGGGGAGATTCATAAACCACCAAATTAAAAATAGCTGTGTTTGACAGATGAGAAAATTATTTAGCTAATAGGTCCAGAACCTGCCCACTAATGTCAGTGAAGCCCTCTTGTACTTATCCTGCTGTCAAGCTCAGGAGCTTATTTTTAAATTGATAGCATCCCAAAATGCATCGCATCCCAGCCAGATAACATCCCAAAATGCATTCTGAGTGTCTTTCTATTTGAAGGGTCCATGTGGTAACATTAGCAAGGGGCAAAAAGGGGAGAGATTAATCCCTTTTCCAAATGCCACTTCACTAGGTCACTTGCCAAATAAGGTCCCTTATTTGGTCCAAGGAAGGGTGGACCAAATACTTGAGGAGTTCCAGGGTAACAAGGATTCCCAGAACATCCCTGGTTGAGTATAATGAACACAACAATATTCGAAGCAGCAGGGAGCCCCCACCTAAAGGGAAAAACTGCTGCTGGTGTTTGGTAATAATAGCAGCTACAGCAATAGTTGAGACTGCTGACTGTGCTCCACCATAGAGGCGGCACTGCTGCTGGTATAAAAACTGCACGCTATTCGGCCCCCTTTAATGCCAACCGCCTTTGACATCTTCTACAGGTACCACTGGACCACTCGAAGGCTGTGACTTCCATCCTCATTGAGTAATGAAAGCCTCCAGAGAGCTGCAGCTGCTCATCTGCATCTCCCTCTAACTAGTGGCAGAACGCAACACAGCTGAGGGGGCATTCTGGCTTTCTGCTGTGAGCCTCACCCAAGAGCAACAGTTAGGTGGTTTATCTGAGAAATTCACCGTTTTAACCTGATAGAAATAAGCAAGTTTTCTTCCCACACGCAGCCCCTTTCACAGTCTTACGCAAAAGAAAAGTCTAAAGAAGAATGGTTTTGGTGCTGCGCACAGCCTCTGCTTGCTCTTTCCATGAGCCCTTCTGACGGCTGATGACCAGACACCACGGAGTCTCATGGTATGTGCCAGAAACAGGTTCAGACAACTAACCCTCTGTTGATAACCTTAATTAAACCTACTACTGCAACTCAAAAGTCTTGCTTGCCTTTCTTTCTTTCATACACTTTGCGAACATTTCCTGCTCACAACAAGGATCATTTCTCCCCAAAGTGAGATTTTAAAATTCTCCGCAGATGCCTAGTCTAATAGCTACAGGTGCCTCCCCTGTCGATCCCCTCTGTTGTGGTAATGCATGCCAGCGGAGCTGTTCCTCGGAGTGACATGCAGGAAGGAGAGGAGGAAGAACACCCGTTTGTTTATTGACCCAGCTGTCAGAGGTATCTGATACTGCAATGGTATGAAAGGGGGAAGAGATGGCTGAA